ACACTGTTATTGACTTCAAACTTCAATCAGCAGGTCAATTGACGGGAGGAAGCCCTAGATCAAATGATTATGAGGACTGGAAACTGGACTTCGGTTGAATTTAGTTGCCCTTGTGGTTTGAGGAAACGAAAAGATTGCGAATTTGAGATGGAGAAGTGCGATTGGTACAGTTTCTTGGTGTCTGATACTGTCGATGCGATGCGTGGCTTCAAATTTGGGGAAGGATGGTTGAAAGCAGATGGTGGTGCGGTGGAAAATAGACATTATTTAAGGGGAGTAGACCCACCCACACCAACAGAAAGTGAAACTGCAAATGCTGCTGTCTTGTGAAATTTCTGGTCTTTATATTTTTGCCGCTAATACAGAAATTAAATGCTCAATATATATTATTATTATAAGATTATTACAATTTTAAATTCTAAATCATTATTAGTTTATTTACTATTGAGAAAAAAAAATATGAAATAATGGGACGAAAATTACATAATTCAATAACATATTTTGAATTAATGTCATAAACTTGACGTAATTTGTTATTTAGGCTTTGTATCATCGTTATTGAGATAGATTTTAACCGACTACCAAAGCTTATGTAAGGTACATTGTGAATGTGACATTTCGTTTACTTATATTATAGAATTATTGTGGTATTGCATCCACTATGACAAATTATTCTATTGAAATCCAATATGACATAGGGTATCTTTGGAATTGTTTTTTAATCTCAAAGGTGTTTTTGGGAAAAGCGTTTATTTATTTATTGCTTTTAAAATAAGTTTTTAAAAAGTGTTTGGGTTAATTTTTATCGTGGGAAAAACTAAAAAATCAATAAATTGATTTTAAAAAGTATTTGATTAGGCTAAATTGATCACAAAAAACTAAAAGGCCAAGATTTTATGGCTTTTTGAAATTCTGTTATTTTATCTAGCTAAAAAATCATTTTAAAAACTTTTTTAAACAATCCAAACATTTTTAATTTATTTGTTTTTTGAAAAACCAATAAACTAATAAGCCAATTTAAGAAGCACTTCCAAAGCCTATTAAATTTGTTTGCTTATATCTAGCTAATGATGGTGGTATTGCATCCACTATGACAAAAATTATTTGATCAAATCCACTTAAATAATATAATGAGAACATAGAAAGAGTTCATTGACTTTTTAAATATAATTAAAAGATAAGTGACTAAAAAGAAAGCGAAATACTATTTGTTATAATTTTACGATATTAACCCATTTTAAAGATTAAAAAAGATATATTTTTAAAATGCAAAATAATTGAAAATTTTCGAAAAAAAATTTAAATATTATTTTCGTAACTTTTTTTATCCAAAAAAAAATTATTATTATTTTTAAATATCCATGCAATATTTTAGTAGAATATTTTACATATATGATAAATCTACTAGAATAATAAAATATTCTAACATTCAAAAAATCACATTGAAATATTTTCAGTGTAATATTTTATTATAATATTTCACGTATTTTTCAAAAAAAAACGGTAATTTTTTATAATTTCTTTTAGGTAAAGAAAATGAGTAAAATAATAATTAAAAAAAGAATTTTTGGATTTTTCCTAAACCTATATATATATATATATATATATATATATATATATATATATATATATATATATATATATATATATATATATATATATATATATATATTGGAGCATTAGATCAAAATTAACTCATTAAGGGCATGATCGTCATCTTATCAATCTCATTTAATGTTTTTTTTTGTTATTGAAAATATTAATATAATAATCTAAAAATTAACATGATCAATAAAATTTTGGATTTTTTAATAATTTTCGATTTTTTTTAAATGGTGATATTTTACTTTTTTTAGAAAACATGAATTTAAAAACCGAGGGCCACCTTGTGGTCTTCCTTGACAGACCGAGGGCCACAAACCTAGGTCTTACAGATAAGTACCATGAGCCACCTCATGGTCTTCCATGCAAGCATCACAAAGACAAGTAGCATACAATCTACACTACTTAACTAATAAACTGCTAGATTTCAGACTCTATTCTTGCATACAGTTTTCCAGGAGCTGCCTCCTGGTCTTTCATACAACCTGCCAAGGGTTACCCCCAGGTCTTCCTACAATACATAAACTAAATGGGCCGGCATTGATGTCTTCAACCCATAGAATAGTGAGGAGACTCACCTCGAATGCAGAAGTTCAGTAAAAGAAATCCCTAGCTACTACCCTGACGATTCCTTCGGGATATCAATACCAAGATAACACTGAATTAGCAATTGGGTTCCAAACTATGATCCATAAACCATACTTGGGGTAAAATGACCATTTTACCCCTAACCCGATTTGAACCAAAATTAAGGCCCAAGTCTAAAAACCATAAAGGCCCAAAACCAAAAGTTTCACAAAGGCCCAGTAATGACCCAATTTTCCAAATTGGGCCCAACCCATATGGGCCTTATCCTAAAGCCCAAAAATTCCCTTTAGTCTAATAATTGATCTCAAATGGCCCAAAAGGCCCAAAGCAACAAAGCCTAAATAGGTAGCCCAAAACCGAAATGACACCGCAAGGCCCAAATCAGCAAGACCCACATCCAAAGTTAAGTCTAAGCCCAACAACCAAAAACTCCACTGATCAGACGAACGTACGGCGTCCAAGGGTTGAACGTACGGTGTTAGTCCTCGGACAACTTGGCAGGGACTCAAGACGGAATACGGTGCATTCCCAGGGGCTACGTAAGGCGTTCAAGGAAAATTCCCTAATTCTCATTCTAAGGACTTAATCCATTAAGTCCAACGTCTAGAACCCTAGAATAGTCCCATAACAGTGACTTAACCCATAAAGTCGAAGGCTTCAAGCCTTCGCATAGCTTAAAGAAGCCCAACACCAAAGATGAACCCCAAAGGTCAAAATTACCCCAAAATGTCTTAAAAACTTCTTAATACATTAACACCTCAATCCAAACTTCCAGATCTGATTTCAAGGGACTTCTTAAGTCATTAAGTTTCAAAATTTATGACTTAACATAACTCAGTGGGACCCAAATCAAAACCCTAAGTCCCAAACTTCATCAAATGACTACCAAATCATGCATGGAAGGTTTATACATATCAAGATCCAAACTTTACGACTCCATAACCTCAACAAGTACCAAATATGAAGCTCAAAGGTTGTGGAGTAAATTCTACTCACAAGAACCACCTTAAAGGGACCAAAACCATAACAAAATACCACTTAGCTAGATATACATGAAAGAGTTGTCAAGGTTGAGACTTTATACCTCCAGAAGATAGATCTAGGTGCATAAAGCCAGTATCTAAAACCTCTAAGTCAAGCAATGATTGTTCAATAAGTTCCTTCTTATTCCTCAAGCAAAAAAAAACACATATAAATCACTTTGAAGCTCAAGAATAACTCAAATGGAGGCTAGGGTTTCATTCTTAGGGTTAGAGAGGATGGAGGTTGAAGGAAATGAGGGTTGGAAGTGAGTTAAGGTCTTTAAATAGGGTCCAAGACCCTAATTTAGGGTTTTAATCTGGCTTGATGAACGCAACTTGTTCCCTTGGGGAACGCAGGGCATTCCCAAATGCACCCGCATCCAAATTCCCATGTACGCCATGTGTACCTCCCTTGTACGCCATGCATACCCATTTTGGCCCAGCACCCCTGTAACTTCAAATGATCATAACTTTTGCATCCCTTATCCGTGTTCGACGTTATTTATATCTACGAAAAGGTAACGAGAAGCCCTACACTTCTATAAACTTTAATTAGTCTGAAAACCAATCGAAATTAAATGCAAAATTCATTAAATAATGAAGGGTTAATACCAAAAAAGCCATAAGTTTTACATTGTTATTCTAAATTAGCCCTAAATGGATTTTTTGTGTCTAATTAGCCTAAATAATTGTGACCCCGTTTCAAAATCGTGTTATCATCCGGTTAACAGCCGGTCAAGGTACGCAGCCGGTCACCACTCTCCTATACTACTTGATAGTTCGTATACCACCTAATATCACCTTTCACAGAAACGTCTTGCATCAAAAAAAGGGTTTCTTGTAGTTGGTCTTACGAAGAAGAAGGGTTTGAAAAGGGTTTCTTACACCATTGTTGCATGTAAAAAAGCTTCTATTTTGAAGTTGATAATCACTGAAGTAGAAAGGTACGTGGGGGTGCCAATAAGAAATTGATGTGTATGTGTGTTCTTATCGTACATAATCGAGTTCCATAGTGTCACTTACAAGTATAATTTTTCATTTTGAACAGATGGCTTCATCATCTGGAACTAAAAAGGTGAAAGGGCCTGAAAAGGTTTATGTAAGGACGAGGACTCTGATGATGATCTCATAGATTTCTCTTTCCTGGATTTTGCACCAGAGACCTTTAAACCGACCTCAAACCTGTCTGATGACCCATTTCTTAACATGTTATGTGATGAAAATATGCTAAGGAGGACTCTTGATGGAATGGGAGATGATGATCATGAAGTTGGTGTTAAGGATCCAGAACATGATCATATTGATGATCAAAATGACGGTGAAGTAGGTGTAGAGTACAGGGTTCATGATCCAGACATACATTGGAAACAAATGAAGCCGGTAGTGGGAGAGTGTTACGAGTCCCCTGCTCAACTCAGGTTTGCATTAACTAACTATGCGGTAGCTAATGGATATCAGTTGTGGTTTATGAAGAGTGATAGGCATAGAGTGATTGCTAGGTGTGGGAAAATATATAAAAAAGACCCATGTCCCTTTAGAGTTTATGCTGCTTGGAAGTATAATGAACGAACATTTCAGATTAAATCTATATGTGACATACATCTATGTGCCAGAAATTTTAATTTTGGAACTTTGGTTAGTTGTAACTGGTTGGCCAAACATTACTTGAAGGATATTGTTATGAAGCCAAAGATGACATTAACTGAGATGAAGGAAGATGTACTTAGGATGTTTTCAGTAAATGTATCCAAGGGGCAATGTCACAGGGCTAGGACAAAGGCAAGAGAGATGATAGAAGGTAAGTTAGAAGAACATTATGCAAAGGTATGGGACTATGCTGCAGAAATCCTCAGGTCTAACCCAGGAGCACTTGTAAGGTGGGAGTAGATTCTAATGCAAGTGGCATGAACTATTTCAAAAGGTTTTATGTGTGTTTAAAGGCTTTTAAGGATGGTTGGAATAGGGGTTGCAGACGTGTGATAGGTTTGGATGGTTGTTTCCTAAAGGGTCAGATCAAGGGAGAACTTTTGACTGCTATTGGAAGAGATGCAGACAATCATGTATATCCAATAGCATGGGCAGTGATCGATGTAGAGAACAAAGATAATTGGACTTGGTTTATTGAGTTGTTAGTTGCTGATCTTGACCTTGACTGTGGTAGGGGTCTTGTGGTTATTTCCGATCAGCACAAGGTAAATTATACTATAAATTTGTTTAATTATTATACATTGATAATAATTTTGTTTATTCAATGCCAGGGTCTACTACAAGCTGTTACAGAACTACTTCCATATGTTGAACATAGACAATGTGCCAGGCACATCTATGCAAACTTCAGGAAGAAATACACTGGGTTAGAGCTCAAGAACCTGTTTTGGGAAGCTGCCAACAGTACTGTGGAGGGGGACTTTATAGCAACAATGAAGAAAATCAAAGACATAACTCCCAGTGGTTATGAATGGCTGATGTCAAACAAACCACATTCTTGGTGTAGGGCATTTTTCTCTCATGGATATGCTTGTGAGGCTATAGAGAATGGCATATCAGAGTGTTTTAACTCGATGATCATTCACATGAGAAAAAAACCAATTCTAACAATGCTTGAAGAAATCAGGATTTATTTGATGAATAGGTTTTATCATCAAGCTGCTATAGTTTCTCAATGGAAAGGTGACTATGGCCCAAACACCTTAGAGAAGATTAAGGAGTTTGGAAAGCATATGAGGTATGCTTATTTGATTTTAATTGTGATCTTAAGTCTATACATTTACATTACTAATTACTTATAATTTTAGGTTCTGGATAGTAATACCAAGTGGAGGGGCATTATTTGAGACAAGGCATGGATATTCAGCTTACAAGGTGGATTTAGATGCTCATTCTTGTTCATGCAGATTATGGGAGATATCAGGGTTACCATGTGTTCATGCTCAAGCTGCAATCAATTTCACACATAGAGATCCAACTGATTTTATTTCCTTTTGGTTCCATAAGGACAAGTTCATAGAGACATACAGGGACAACATCTTACCTGTTAATGGAAGTAATATGTGGCCCTGTACTGAATATTTGAAGCCCTTACCACCCCTTGTTAGGAGAATGCCTGGAAGGCCAAAAACAAAGAGAAGAAGACATGCCTCAGAATGTCAGGATTCTAAGTTCCCTACTCAAAAGGCAAAGGTTAGCAGGACTGTTAGGTGTGGGAATGTAGGGAACTTGGTCATAATAAGCTGTCTTGTAAGAATGGAGAAGGTCCAAGTGACCCTGTCCCTAAAAGGAAAAATGGTAGACCAAAGGGAGATGGGGAGGGAATTTAGTTGTGAACATTGCAAAGACACCAAGGAAAGTAGATAAGGGAAAGAAGAAAGTTGTTGAGGACACATCAAAAGAAGTAAATGAAGGACATAATAAAGTTGTTGATCACACATCAAAAGAAGCAAGTGAGGGAAAGATGAAAGTTGTTGAGGGCACATCAAAAGAAGCAGGTAAGATGATAGATGTTGATCAGTCAATTTCTCCTTTGAAGAGAATGAAGATGATGGAAAGGAGGGGAGGTAAGATCAAATATGTAGGGAGAATAGGGGTTGTGCATGGTAGTATAAGTCAAAATGTGGCAGGTGTTGACCATGAAGATTTTGAAACTATTAAAGATCTGCAGGCATCTGGATATGATCATGGGGAAATTGTTGAAGCTTTTAATAAGGTGTGTAGTTATAAATTTAATTATTAACACAATTTTCTTGAACATTATATGATAATATGTTTATGTTAATTTCTTATTCACAGTTGACAAAAAAGAGAGGAAGGAGATGTTGGCTGAGAGTATAGTTGATGAAGAGACCAGTCAAGAAACACAAGATCCGTTGGTAAAAAAAAGGAAGCCCTCAGAAAGAATTATCAAGATTAAGTTGAAAAAAGCAGTGCATGATCCAGATGGAGGTGGTTCAACAATTAAGAAAGCACTTACATTGGACTGATGTTGTTATGGACGGGAGGTTAATTGGGCATAAATCGATAGCCCTTTTTTGTGAAAGCATCTTTTGGTAACAAGCTTCCAATTTGTTGACAACATGTTATCTTTTGACTGTAAATTTTAGTAACATTGTCATTTTTGGAAATCATCTTTTGGCTTGTAAACATTGTTGTAAAATTGGAAGTTTGGTTCTGATTGTTACCCTCCATGTATGTATTTGGCTATTATGTTTATAAAGATTGTGGTTTGTAGTAAGTTCAAATTTGTGACATCCCCAAAATCTCGGCCAGAAAAGACCGATTTCATTTATGCTTTTTAAAATAATTTTCAGAGTAAATCCTTTTAATTTTAAAAGAGATGCGGAATTTGTTCCCAAAAACAAAACATGATAAAATAGATATTTATCAAAACATTTCATAAAGAAATATGATTTCATTTCATAATCAAAAGACGGGATGTCATGTTCCGATACAGATCATAAAGCATAAACGATAGCATTACAAGTCATTCAACAAATATATACATATACAGACTTGTAAACAAAACAATTTGATGTTCGCCCATCTTAAGCTCTTGCGCCACTTCCTGTAAAATAAATCAACTGAGTGGGTCATGCTTGGGAGCCTGGTGAGCATATAGGGTTTTCAACCCACAATAATTATATTTAATTTCAACCATCAACAATAAACCCGATTACCCATTCCTGTCATCCTCACCTTACGTTCCTAAAAATAACGTCTATTATAAGGAACCTATTTCAGGATTTTTCATCGGGACGGACATTACTGCAGAGGGGCTTCCTCAACAATAAGTATCCTAAAGGCAACCATGTGGGGGATAGAGTACACCGGTGAACACGTCGTTCACAACACCTACAGGTAATGAGCCTGCTAGTATTCCACAGGACAGTCTAGAATAGTCCGTGGTCGTCATCCATACTCTGCTGAATGACTAGAATAACACCAATAACACCAATAACACCGAGGCCTCTCATCTGTTTATTACACACCAATTACCTACCCATGTTCTACCCAACATATTAGTAGATAAAAATATACGTTTTTATACATAGTTTAAAAACCTGTATAACATGTTTTAATCAACACATATTCCACATAACAGATGAGGCATACACACATAACACGTATTTCATAGAGAATACATCAGATCTGTAAGATAGAAGAGAGTGAATATACACTCACACGTATAACAACCAAATATATACACCTAACACGTATTTTATATGAAATACTTCATAATATTGCGTTGGAATGAAAATAACTACACACTCACTTGATCAAAAGATGATCGGGCAGCACTACGGCTTGTAGAAGAGGTGTTTCTCCGTAGATCTGGAAGATCTTCACAAAACCGGGCTCCTCGCGGGCAGCGTTTCGGCTCGGGAATAACGCTCTTCGGGATCCTCGGGGCTTCGGATCTTACTTCGGGGCTCGGGAATATTACCGGGGCTTTGGGGTATAAACGGCACGCAAAACGAGGCAAAACTTAGAGAGAGGGAAGAGTTTGAACAAGAGAAAATGGCTGAATTCGAGTTCTATTTATAGGCTGTTGGGTCTGGGATTACGCGGGGCGTACTCAAATTACGCGGGGCGTACTCAGGTTACGCGGGGCGTACTTTGACGTCACTGCGTGCGTCGACTGGTGGCACTCGAGTATTGGTCAGACAAGTTGCATCCGACTGAGTACGCGGGGCGTACTCAAATTACGCGGGGCGTAATTGACTTGTCAAACTTCTAAATTGCGTAACTTCCGCATACGAGCTCCGTTTTCGACGTTCTTTATATCCACGCGAAGGTCAGACCATACTCTACAACTTTCATTTAGACTCCGTCGGCTAATTTTGACTTTTATTTTTATTATTTATTTTTAGAAGGCCGGGACAGAAAAACTTCGTTATAAATTCATAACTTCTTCGTCTGATGTCCGTTCTCGCCTAACTTTTCATCGTTTCGCTACTAACAACAAGATCTTTGATTCTCATTTAGATTGTTTCGGCTAAAAACCGTTCGATCTCAAATCGAGTATTCGGGCTGTATACTGCTAAGTCGAAACTTCATAAAATCATAACTTCCTCATACGAAGTCAGATTTGGGCGTTCCTTTTATGCATGCTCACGGTTTAACGAAATCTACGACTTTCGTTTAGATCGCTAAGGCTAAATATCGCTCTATCTTAAATTCATATTTTACGTCACTCAGCGTCGTACCGGTTCTGTCTCGAAACTTCGACAGGTCATAACTTCTTCGTTATAACTCGGATTTTGGCATTCCTTATATCCCCGGAATCCTTGTGTCGACCACTACAACTTTATGCAAAGATGTCAGGCTTAACTCACACTTAAATTTTGACGCTTATTTTATTCTTAATTCATTAAATTATAAAAATTAAGAAAATACACACATAAATCACATAATTCAAATAATTCACAGATAATACATTCTTATTATTTCAAGTTGAGTTACAAGGTTAACCTAGACTATTACATTGCTAAAAATGGCAAGCCTAGAAACACGGGCGTTACAAAATTTCTATGTCAGTTTGTAATGGATAGTAAATTGTCAATTTCTGGTTAATGCTTTTCATATTAATTGTCCCGTAGGACTATGTATTACAAGGGTATCCATATTACAACCATCAAAATGTTTTCAGATGTTATTACAACTGTGCCAAAATAAGCATCTAATACAATTTCACCTAACCAACAACTTCACAAAAAGACTAAACTTAACTTCCTAACTTCCTATAATCTCACCAGCAATACAGTCCCTGTTACCAACATCATTGCAAATAGCATGACCATGATAAACATAAGCTTCATCATCAACATCAACCTCCTATTTTGATCCACATTCACCTGTTCCAACCGAGCATTGCCATCAACCATCCCAACCAGAGCTAAATGCATTTGGTACATGAGGTTTTTGTAATCTTCACTAGGCAAAGGTGGGTCCAACCACATGAAGAACTTACAATACCTGGAAGGATCCTGCACATTTTTATGACAGATTTGCCCTTAGTCCCATAACAAAACTTTATAATGCACATTTTTATGACAAATTTTCCCTTAGTCCCATAACAAAACTCTCTACTGGATCAAAGAGTGAAGAACAAATGTGCACATTTTTATGATAGATTTGCCCTTAGTCCCATTCAAAAACTTTATACTACACATTTTTATGACAAATTTGCCCTTAGTCCCATAACAAAACTCTATACTGGATCAAAGAGTGAAGAACATACCTTGTAATTGGTGCATCCCCTAAAATTTCTTCCAGGATTCTTGTCCGTCCATGAAATTGAGAAGCTAGCCTCAACACCACAACGACACAAAACCATGGGGTTGTTTCTGTTCCTGAAATTGACATTAACATTTTGAAATCCTGAAGTCATTGACCCTGTAGACCCTGTAGATGAACTAGCCATGAAGAAGTTAGATGCGTGGAAGAAGAAGTCGGAGAATGTAGAAGTAGGAGATGGAAGATGGTTTCTAACGGTAAAACCCTTATTTGTAAAGGGGTAACCGGCTGAAACCGGGGAAACCGGCTAACAGGGTTTGAGGCAAAAGTCAACACATACATAATGGCTAATTAGACACAAAAAATCCATTTAGGGCTAATTTAGAATTATGGTGTAAAACTTATGGCTTTTATGGTATTAACCCAATAATGAATTGTCAAATTACGATTATACCCTTGACCTTCGAAGACACCATCGAACACTTGGATCACTTAAACCATAACACCCACACCCAAGAAGGGCCAAATTCTTCCTTACCCAAGGCCCTAATCCTCATGACCACTGAAGATTGGACCGTATCCCCGAATAAAGAAGCAAATTCGAAACCGAGTGTTACAACTCTCCCCCATTTAAATTAGATTTTGTCCTCGAAATCACTCCTTACCAACATTCGTATTAAAACAAACAACTTGAGGAATGTAACTAAAAATTCTACGCATAAAACGAATTTCCCAAGACAACCGAATCCAAACCAAAACTTCCATCCCGAAGAAAAACAAACTCTGAGCACCTGAAGGAAACCACTTCTAGCCTTTCTAAAACCTAGAATGTACATTGGTCTGAATCCCCGACAGACTACCCACACTAAAACAACTTCATGCCAAAATATCAACGAATAATAGACCAAAACATAACACTTCCAACTATAACATCCATCACTTGAGGTATTATTATTTTAAAATGTTCTTTAATTATTGTTGGACTATGAATTGGATATGTGGACTATTGAGTGGACCATTAGCAAGTAGGTTGTATAGTTGGGCTACCCAGAAGACGTACATTAGGCATACGCTTGGCATACGCAGGGCGTAGAGGGTCATTGGATTCGGGGGACGCATGCACGTACGCGCAGTGTACGTGAGCAGACTCCAAAACCTAATTTTTAGGGTTTAAGAAATATAATACAACATTATGATTCAAACCCTAGTCTGTTTACCAGCCTCTCAACCTCAGAGACCCTAGATAAGCCCTTACACTTCATCCTTATATGTTTTTGGCCTTGTGAAGTCCTTGGTGGTGATTGGAAGTTTGGAAGAAGTTAGAGAAGAAGAACTTAAGTATCTTAAGCTCAAGGATCCGAGATTATACCATATTTTGGCACTTATTTGAGGTTAAAAGCTTCCATCTTGCCTCATGAATGCTTATGTATTTTTTTATGGAGTTTTGGACCTCTTAAGGTTCCAAGAATGGATTTTTGCGGTTCACCTTCATTTCTAGGCCTAGGGTTGCCACCCTTAGTGCTAAATGTGTCCTAATATCAGTTTCGATCTTTGAAGTCCTTTGTGACCATGCATGAGATCTATCCATTTCTATGGAAGTTAGTTGCTATTTTCAAAGTCCATTTGGTGGGTTGCAAGTCACAAAATGATCGACTTTATAGCAAATAAAACATTATGCGTCGTGTCCCATACGCTTCGGGTACAGGATCGATTGCAAATGCTTTAATGTTTGACCATTCTAAAATTT